CTGTTTTCGACATAGAACTTTGCACAAATGTGCGGAAGTTCAAGTCGCCACATTCCGTGTAGCACGCGAAGCAAGAGAAGAAAGTACAAGAAAAGCATAATAGAAACAGTGAGCAGAGGTGTGAGACAAAGCAAGAGTAATAACGAAGAACAAAACAGTTTCATTGAAGATCATAAGTCACAGGGAGTGGATGCATCTGCGCCACTGAGAACGACTTTGAGCCATGTCACCAATTGTTTCCAACCATAGATTTTTACCGTCCCGAGGACCCCAGCCTGGAAGTCTACACCTTCCTACGTGGCTTAGACCAACTGTTGTGGATTTCATTGACTGGTGAAGCCATGTTTTTGTTTGACCGCCGCTAGCTTTTTTCCAGCCTGACCCTATATCCACTAACATTGCTCGTCGAGGGAGGCGATGGCTTGGCATACGTAACACATGTCCTAACCATCTCAGTCTTTGTAATTTCACGACTTCGTCGATTGATTTCCCCTGTTTACCTAGAACTCTACGCCTAACCTCCATGTTGCTCACCTTATTATGCCACTTTACACGGGAAATAGAGTGCAGGCACCTATGATCAAACACAGCTAGTCTTTTCATGTCTTCCACTCTCAGTGGCCAGGTCTCACAACCATAAAGGAGGACGGAGCGGACTGATGAGCAGTACACCCGCCCTTTGGTCGATAGTCGAACATCTCGTCTACGCCAGAGTCGGCGTAAACTAACAAATGCGAAACGAGCCCCTTGTATTCGTGCTGAGATTTCGTCAGAGATCAACCCGTTGGCACTGGCTGATGGTACTTCCCAAATAAGTGAAGCGGTCAACGTGCTCTACCACTTCACTTCCTATTTTTAAACTAGGCGTCGATGTAGTCCAGTCCTGTAACATCATCTTGCATTTGGCGGGAGCGAATCGCATGCCAAACATTCGTAAATTGCTGCTCAAGGTGTTTAGAAGACTCTGCATTTTGTCAGAGTCGTCGCCTAGAAGGACTATATCGTCTGCATATTCTAAGTCAACGAGATTATTCCCTGGTAGCAAGTCAATCCCTGAGTCGCTGAAGTCACTTAGGGTTAAGTCCATTAACACATCTATGATGAAGTTGAATAGAAAAGGAGATAATGGGCATCCTTGACGGACACCGCTAGTCGTCACCAGTTCGGATGACAGCTCGCCGTAAGCCCTCACCTGGCTGTATGAGTACGAGTACAGTGCCTTTATCAGTGCAATATATTTTCTCGGAACAGCCAAGCATCTCCAGAGAACTTCTCGATCGACAGAGTCGAATGCTGCCTTTAGGTCAAGAAATATAATGACTGTTGGTCGCCGGTAGGAATGCCTATGTTCTAGAATCTGTCGGAGGGTGAAGATATGATCAATACACCCTCTTCCTGGTCTAAAGCCTGCCTGTTTCTCTCGTGTTTGTGCTTCCCGAGCACCACTCAGTCTACGCATGATTATTGAGCCTAAGACTTTAGATACTATATTAGTCAAGCTAATCCCTCTGTGATTATCACAGGAAGACTTGTCTCGTGTGTCTGTACAGTATTTGGTCTTATGGTTTCAAGAAATTAATAACGATAGATCGCAGATTTTGTGCTTAAATAAATCTAAGTGATAATAAAGGTATTAATTACGGTTTTAATCTACCTTAAGATGTATAGTACACGTTGCTTACTTTCTGTCTTTGATATCTTCTATCTAAATAACTATCTATTTTCGTCGGCTTCTGTCAATGTAATATTGAGTGTTATGTGGCACTTAGTTAGAACGACTTACAGATGATAACATGGGGTGGTGTTTCTTACATGGTGACCTTAACTTCTTACTTTTGTAACTGAGCATAATCAGGTATTTGGTGTCCTGCTAACTTGTTACTTATTGTTGTCATACATTCCAAAGATTGGAAAGACTAACTTTCAGCAATAACATATAGATTTATGTATTGGGCGTAATAATTGCTGGTTGTGGAACAGAATTTAATCCCTGTAGTAAAATATATTTTCATACTATCAAAATGTTTATATGAAGTAATACAGATTGTGATACACTATTAATAACTGAATGGTGTTTTGAGCATAAGGTGTCGCTCATAGTCGTAGATATATATAAAATTGATATGATTGTGAGCTATAAATTGTCCTCAAAATGTTGTCATCCAGTTGTATCGAATAAACTTACACACTATGGAATTACTGTTGTAGTGTTTTCCGCCTGGTGTATCTATTCATGGTGGGATCGATCATACTAAGAAACACTTGTTCTTTACACGTCGTCTGCCTACATCTTATTGCTACAGTGGATTTCTATTCTAACGCGCCAATACAAAGCAGTAACTGACAAATAAGATGAGTGAACGGTGTTAAAGCGTACGTAGATAATTATAGTGTATTTTCCAACATTTTGTTTTAAGTTTGATCACGGATTGATATCAGTTGGAGAACTATTGGAAAGCCAGAGAGTACTGGATAACTGCTTCGTCCTAGTTTGGGACTCGTCGGGAGTAGTTACCCGCTGGGATTCGAACCGAGGATCTCCTGGTTGCGAGAAGAGTTCAAAGACCAGCCAGTCAGTCAGTCATTGTCTGTCTGTCTGTTTTCGACATAGAACTTTGCACAAATGTGCGGAAGTTCAAGTCGCCACATTCCGTGTAGCACGCGAAGCAAGAGAAGAAAGTACAAGAAAAGCATAATAGAAACAGTGAGCAGAGGTGTGAGACAAAGCAAGAGTAATAACGAAGAACAAAACAGTTTCATTGAAGATCATAAGTCACAGGGAGTGGATGCATCTGCGCCACTGAGAACGACTTTGAGCCATGTCACCAATTGTTTCCAACCATAGATTTTTACCGTCCCGAGGACCCCAGCCTGGAAGTCTACACCTTCCTACGTGGCTTAGACCAACTGTTGTGGATTTCATTGACTGGTGAAGCCATGTTTTTGTTTGACCGCCGCTAGCTTTTTTCCAGCCTGACCCTATATCCACTAACATTGCTCGTCGAGGGAGGCGATGGCTTGGCATACGTAACACATGTCCTAACCATCTCAGTCTTTGTAATTTCACGACTTCGTCGATTGATTTCCCCTGTTTACCTAGAACTCTACGCCTAACCTCCATGTTGCTCACCTTATTATGCCACTTTACACGGGAAATAGAGTGCAGGCACCTATGATCAAACACAGCTAGTCTTTTCATGTCTTCCACTCTCAGTGGCCAGGTCTCACAACCATAAAGGAGGACGGAGCGGACTGATGAGCAGTACACCCGCCCTTTGGTCGATAGTCGAACATCTCGTCTACGCCAGAGTCGGCGTAAACTAACAAATGCGAAACGAGCCCCTTGTATTCGTGCTGAGATTTCGTCAGAGATCAACCCGTTGGCACTGGCTGATGGTACTTCCCAAATAAGTGAAGCGGTCAACGTGCTCTACCACTTCACTTCCTATTTTTAAACTAGGCGTCGATGTAGTCCAGTCCTGTAACATCATCTTGCATTTGGCGGGAGCGAATCGCATGCCAAACATTCGTAAATTGCTGCTCAAGGTGTTTAGAAGACTCTGCATTTTGTCAGAGTCGTCGCCTAGAAGGACTATATCGTCTGCATATTCCAAGTCAACGAGATTATTCCCTGGTAGCAAGTCAATCCCTGAGTCGCTGAAGTCACTTAGGGTTAAGTCCATTAACACATCTATGATGAAGTTGAATAGAAAAGGAGATAATGGGCATCCTTGACGGACACCGCTAGTCGTCACCAGTTCGGATGACAGCTCGCCGTAAGCCCTCACCTGGCTGTATGAGTACGAGTACAGTGCCTTTATCAGTGCAATATATTTTCTCGGAACAGCCAAGCATCTCCAGAGAACTTCTCGATCGACAGAGTCGAATGCTGCCTTTAGGTCAAGAAATATAATGACTGTTGGACGCCGGTAGGAATGCCTATGTTCTAGAATCTGTCGGAGGGTGAAGATATGATCAATACACCCTCTTCCTGGTCTAAAGCCTGCCTGTTTCTCTCGTGTTTGTGCTTCCCGAGCACCACTCAGTCTACGCATGATTATTGAGCCTAAGACTTTAGATACTATATTAGTCAAGCTAATCCCTCTGTGATTATCACAGGAAGACTTGTCTCCCTTCTTGTATATCGGGATAATCAGTGACTTACACCAATCCGATGGGACTTCTTCTGATTCCCAGACGCTCCCTAGTACCTCATTTAATCCGGACAGTAAGCTGTCTCCACCGTACTTAAATACTTCTGGCGTCATTTCATCAGGTCCCGCTGCTTTGCCTAGTTTCAGATTGGTGACAGCTTTAGTAACCTCAGTTAGTGACGGAGGACCTGTGTCTATATCCCATTCAGGGAGGTGTTGGATGCTCGGAAGGTTGAGCGTGGCTGTGGGCAAATTAAACTGCTCCTCATAATGCTCTTTCCAACGATCCAGTCGTCTATCCTGGGAGCTAATTATAGTGCCATTGGGACCCGATTCAGTGGCCAGGCCATAAATTTTAACTTCTGCGAATTTGTGATTTTAGCGTGACCACCAGTTACTGTTAATATTTGTCCTCATTCCCTACCAGGTGGACTCCATTGGTCACGGCTTCTCCATAGAGTTCCAGACAGCTTCATCCTGTGGCCAGTCACTAGTGAATATCAAGAGTTTTGATTTGTAATAATGTAATCTTCTAAAGTACATATAAACAGCATATAGCCAGTTTATGAGATAAGTGAGAATAATGCTTAGAAAACTAAGGTCAGTCAGTAGCCAATTAATTAACTTTTTACTGCATTCATAGTATCCACAATTATAACGGTCATGTTTATATAATGCTGCATATCTTTTATTTTACAAGATACCATCATATTTCTTTAAAATGGAAGAAGAGAAATTTACCACCTCATTTATGTATGATGTTAGAAATACTAATTATCACTATTGCTTATGTAGATATAAGTCTAAACACCAAAATTCTTTTCTTATATACACACACACACACAGGATACAGCTGGTCAAGAACGATTTCGTACTCTAACGCCTAATGTTTATCGTGGTTCACATGCTGCTGTTTTTGGTGAGTTTTAGATCATTCATAGTATATTTTTATTTACTAAACGCTATACACTATACCCTTGCAATTATCCAGTAACTTGAATTGATATGACAGTATTCTGATATCTCTGTTAACTTAACAGCACAATTAGTAGTCCCTTAACTGTTGAAGTCGTACGTGTGCAAAGCGAGTACAACAGTGTGTGTGTGTGTGTGTGTATGAGTTTATTCGTAAAATGACACTGCTTGTGATCTGTTACCTACAGCACGCAAGTAGAATGCAAGCAACAGCAACATTCCTGACAGTGATCGCAAGTTGCTATTTGTTGATTCAAACCACCGGCATCAAGGAGGGTGATATCAATCAGAAATATTTTCAAGACGTACTGGTAATGTAAAGGGCCTGAGAGAGTGCTGGTTTGTACCGGCCTTTCCATTCTATAGCTTAGCACCGCATGGATGATTGAAAAATCTCTAGATAGTGAAACACCATAAAGTAATTGTCAGTGGTAGCTTACTACCGAACACAATAGAAATTGTCTTCCTAAAAGTGATGTCATATTTGGACATCGGCTTTATGGTTTGCATATGCATTAGGAATATGTTTCCGGTGGCCTGGATGCCAATCTGTGGTCAATAGTCGTCGCACTGTTTAGAAGAGTCAGGGGAGTCATCATGGTGTGACCCGGTCCCTTGAGGTAAAGGACTACTGTATTGAGTTATCATATACTGCTCTTCCGCTAGTCAGTCAGTGAAGCCTAGGAGGGTATGCATCCCATTGGTTCCTAAGTTATCAGGTATGACTTTCAAATTGATGAGAAATATGGTGCACTTTCTTTGTTTCTCTATTACCAGATTTTATTATTTTATTATTGTTCCCTTGGGTTCCTAGTGGAATATAGGGCTTCAACTACACGTCTCCACACTTGCTTCTGTCTTCCTTCTGCTGTACTTTTCACCTGCATCCATGTTGGTCCATACTGTTTCAACTCCTCTTCACTTCACACGATCTCCTCCATGTCACCCTTGCACTGACGTCCCCCTCGCTGCTTCCCTTTCAGGTTCCACTCGAGCAACGGCCTGACGCGCGCACGATGTCACCCAGTGGCGGCCTCCTCAGCGAGTGTCCAATCCGTCTCCACTTTCTCCTGCATATTTGTTGGTTGGCGATTGGTTCTTGTTTTGTTTGTTTGTTCCTATAGTCTCTTGTTGGTGATTCTTTCCGGCCCGGCCATCTGATCTTCAGTAAAGATCCAGCGAAGACAGTTGTTGATAAAGGTCTGCAACAGGCTGTTGGAAATATTCTTTGTGACACGCCCACCAAGTTTCTCATCCGTATAGAAGAACTGACCGACTTGACTTTTGTATTGAAAAATCCGACCGAATTTTGTTGTTGATGATGGCTGAGTGACTAAGACTTCCAGATTGGTTTCAGGCTGATGAATGTGTCTTTCGCCTTCCCGATTCTCGCTCGATTTGACATCCTCGTCCGTTCTGACTTCCTGTAGTTGAGACAATGCTCCCTAGATAAGATAAGTGAATGAAGTAACCTCTCTCGAATCCTTCCCGTTGATGTTGATTGGCGCTGGACGTTAAAGCTGTTGTTGGTGGTGGTGGTTGGATATTTTCATAACCTCCGTCTTGTATATGTTCACATGGAGTCTGTCCTGTCTTCGCAGGCTGCTTCTTCGACCAGTTTGTCGGTTTTCGCTTGTAAGTCTTCGATTTTGTGTGTGTGACATCAGGCATAAATCATCCACGCGCGAAATCCAGGTCTTCTAGGTTCTTCACGTCGGTCCAGGATATTCTTGTCTGCTGGTTTCCCACTGTCTGACACATAATCCAGTCAGTCCACCACAATTAGGAATATCATCGTGGGTGATAATAAACCAGCACCCTTGTCTGACTCCTGTGTTTATTCCGAACGCCTCTCTGAGTTTTCCGTTGAGGATCACTTGTCATGTATCGCCGTTGTCGTACACCTGTTGAATAAGGTTGTTCAATATTTGGGATACGCCGTAGTACTCGAGTAGTTTCCAAATTACTTCGCGGTCAACGCTGTCTGTCGAAGGCCTTCTCAAAGTCTATAAAGTTGAGGTACAGGTTTGATTGCCATTCCATGCTTTGTTCTGTGATGATGATGCGTAGACTAGTAATTTGGTCAGAACATGATTTGCCTTTCCTGAATCCAGCTTGTTCTGGTGGGAATTCTGTATCCAATGCGTCCTTTATTCTCCTCAGGATGATGCGACTTATTACCAGAAATACTGAAAGGTAATTAAACTATCTAGAGCGCCTAATGAGAACGCTCATCTTTTCCTCTATCATTTTTAACCCATCTCTTCCTTCCTCTTATTTTCGTTAATTTTTATTCTTTGAGTGTGTGTGTGTGTGGGCACATTTATACCCATGTAGGTAGTATCAGGTCTGTGTCCGAACAAATTAAAAGTAACGTAAGTTAGTCGCTTTTCCGATTGCATTGCAGTAATTCGCTGTCCTCCCACTTACCATTTTCAAACTGACCACTTTCACAATATTGTGGAGGGTAGGTAATCAGTTAGGGACTTTCTCTAAGTATTTTATGTCACTCTTTTAAAGCATTCAGTGCCTATTTTCCTCACAAAAAACAAACAATATTTGTGAGAAAGAGATTTCAACACTTTCAAACTGAGTGACTCAGTAAACGAACTAGGTAACCAAGTATCTTCTTAGATATCAGTTCACTACCCATTGTATACTGCAAATTGATTTGTATTATGTGTTCATAGAATAATGAGGTCAATAATGTTGTCAAATACCACCACCTTGTCACTTGAATTTTAAGGTGGCTTTAGTAAAACAAAACAACACGTAATCTTCTTAACTTTAGTCAAATTGAATGTATCAGCCTTTCAAGTTAATGTTATAATATAAACATTGATCATTTTTAAACTTTTATCAATTCCTTATTTACCCCACCTCTTTTTTAAATTCAGCTAGCTGTATTAGCTTTGTATCGTCATTGTCATTCTTTTATGCGTGAATATTGACTACTCAAAAATGGATGCTACTTTTCATTTCAATACATTTAACTGTAACCCGCATATAGATGATCAATCGGCATTGTTAGTTATAGTGAAAACTCTACTGGGTCCATATAGAAGTGAAGTTATTCTGTTATCGATTGCGAAATATGCTGATCAATGAGCTTAATATCTTTCTCTTCTTCTTATTATTACTACCTTGGGTTCCGAATAGAACAACAAGACATCTCCACTTTGTTCTGTTCTCTACTGTTCTGTTTAGCTGGCCCCACGATTGCCCACAATCTCTCATTTCCTGCTCGCCACACGATCTCCTCCATGTCACTCTCGCACTGACTGCCCACTCATTGCTTCCCATTCGGCTTCCACTCGAGCAGTGGCCTTCATTGCACGCGATGTCATTCAACGGCCTCCTCAATGTATATGTCCAATCCATCTCCATTTTCTCCTACATATTTGTTGACCGATCGGCTCTTGGTTGGTTTGTTGCTAATTTTTTCTGTCTGGCCAGCCAATTGATCTTCAATATGGAGCCAACCAGCGGCGGGGGCAGCTGTTGATAAAAGCTTGTAAATTGTTGGAAATCGTCTTTGTGACACATAGTGGAAGTTTTTGAGCCGTAAAGATGAAATGACTTACTGACTTCACATTAGTGTTAAAAATCCGAATCTTGTTGTTGATGCTGGTTGAGTGCAGTAGATTTCCAATCTGGTTTCAGGTTGATGAAGAGGTATTTCGCCTTTCCGATTCTGGCTAGCTTTGAGATCTTCATCTTTGGCATCCGCCTGCGGTTGAAATAATGCTCTCTGGATAAGTCAAAGAAGTAACCTCATTCAAATCTCTCCCGTTGATGGTGGGTGATTGGTGCTGGTTGTTGTTGTTGTTGCTGATGGTGGTGGTGGTGGTGGTGGTGGTTGGTTATCCTCATCACCTCTGTCTTCTGTACGTTCACTTGGAGTCCTGTCTTCGCTAGCTGCTTCTCCAGACAGCTTGTTGATTTTCGCCTGCCTCTAAGCCTTCAAGTTTGTTTGACATTAAGCATAAATCATCTGTGATGTCTCATCACAGTAATGTCGTAAAGTGGCTCATCGATTTAAGCACTGAGTTTTTAACTGATAGGTAAACAGATTCGAGTCCCACTCTATCTACTTCAGCATCGACAACTGAATGGTAACATCAGCCCTTATACAAATAAGCATGGTTGTCACCATGATACATAGAAATCTGTTCTGGTTAATTGAGCTTAAACAAACAAACAAACGAACATCGTCGTATATTTCTTAAATTCAATTTCTGTAATTAGCGTTTACAGACAACCATATGCTATTTTTTGAAGTCAAATTTCCAACGAAATCTTTAATGACGTCACGCCAGAAGCATTTATGCACAGCAAATCACTACAAACAGTGCATTCAGTGACTGATTTTTAAATTTCGCAGTTCAATTTACGTGGTATACTCACGAAAGCTACGCTTACTATTCTGTTTTGGTGGTCTTATATTTTTTAAAATTTGTTCTGAATCTAGTAAACTTTAATAGCAAAATCTTATCCTCTACGGCTGGATATGTGTACTTCTTCTTCTTCAGAATACACATTCATCCAAGAACAGGTTTTACTCCATTTTGATCCTGTCTTCTTTACTTCACAATTTCACGTGTCTACCGCTGTGCGTCGGTGGCATAGCAGTTAGGACTCTCGCCGTCCGTGCACATGGTCCGGGGTTCGTTTCCCAGCCGACTCACTCCTTTACTTCGCTAAGCCAGAAATAATGATGGTAAAGAGGAAAGGTTGGGCATAGGGCTATCAACCCCATCCTGTAAAAAAACCACCACTGCAGTAACTTCAAACCACTAGCTTGAAGCCCTATGTTCCATTGGAAACGTGAAGGAAAAAAAAACTGCAAAATAATAATACGCTACAGTTTCACAGCGCGTTCGATGACCAATGTGTATTGCTGTAAACATTTCGTGTAGTAATAAATCAAAGGATAAGTTATAC